ATTATCAATTTCGTCAAATTTATAATATCGCGATCGACTACGATAGAAATGAATCTCGCTATTACTTATTCGTTCCTCGATAATATGTTTAGTTGTTGTGCAAGAGGATCCCCGATAGTAAGGAATACCTTAAGTAACAAGTGTAAAACAATCGTGCGCACACACGAAATAGCGGCCTTAATAATAATGATTTTTCAGCGTCGTACTCGTGATCTCCGAACACTCTCGTACTCGTAATTGTAGATTAGATTCGTCCTTACACGAATGATCGGCTTCCTTTCGCTACTTCTCATCCGAGATTCGTGTATGTGTAAGTTAGCACCCAGATCCAAGGACTCTTCCGATCGACGAATCCATTCCAATTCTTTCGAAGAAACGATTGTTTGTCGATGAAAATGTCACGTGCCAAATAATTTGCACGAAAAAATCAGCGAATTTGACTGAGTACAAGAAGCATATCAGTGAAAAATTATCGAACCATTTCTTTTTTTTTTCTTTCTTGGACAATAATGGAATTTCACGTGTGAATTCGAAAAATCATTCCTTGTGATATGTAATCACAACGATAAGGAGTATATTAGGTGGTTGATAGTTGTATATTTTTCTTTTTTTTTTTTTTTTTCGATTCATTCCAAATACAACGAAATTTATCGTTCCTCGTTGAATTGTGCTCATTTAAATAGAAAGAGCAACTCTAAGAATTGATTATCGAATTAAATTTAATCCTTTACGAACGAAACTTTTCTTGTTTCACGAGAAAAGAAAAATTGAACGATCATTTGAAAAAAAGTTTTAAAAAATATAGAGAATTAATTATAAGTTTCTCATTAATCGTTGCGCGATTAAGACACTTTTCTATAACGAATCTAAATAAAATGTACAAATGAGAAAAAACACCAAAATCGAATCGTTTCAAATAGTTCACTTTTCATCATCATAGTTTAAACCATCGATTTATCAGTCGAGATCATCAAATCGCCAAAGACGAAGCAACAAATGTAGCAATATTAGTAACGGATTAAACCATAAATAAAACGCGATAGATCAGAAGAGTCCAGATCTTCATCCACGATACACCAAGTCTAAAATCGCATCCCTCACTGGATCCTAAGGTAGTTTAGTAAAAATAAAAAAGGGAAACAGTCAACAGAGCGTGGCCATGTACCGGCCACTTTGGTGCCAAGTGAATGAAATAAGAAAAAAAAGAAAAAAAAAAAGAAGGTAGAAAAAAATTAAAAGAAAATGAAAACGAAACGGGTTAAAAGATCATTATAACATCACGATTACTAAGATATGATAATACAAACGCGTATAAGCGAACAGGTATAAACGATTATACCAATTTACATGTATATTCGTGCGTGTACTCGTCTATGTACATACATAACGGAAGAAACGATCGAGGGATAAATGAGATAACATAAAAGAGGAAAAGAAAAGATAAGATAAGACAGCGATCTCTCTCTCAAGTGTCCTCGTTCGTGCTTTTTCGTCTTTGTCATCGAGGATATTAGCGACACAAGAGAGGAAAAAAAAAAACCTTAGGATTAGCGTAGACCAGCAAAGAAATATGTTTAGCGACGAAAAACCTCGCCAAAAATGAAGATCTTTTTTCGAAGGCCTCGAGAAAAAAACGAGAGGCGTTGTATTTGTGTCAGCGTAAATTTTTAATGGGGGAAAAATAAAAACAAGATTATATTAATGATAAAATAAAATTACCAAAAAAAAAAAGAAGAAGAAGAGGAAGAAGATTGAAAAAAAAAATAATACCATTGAATAAGCAGTAAAAGGGATAAACGAGGTTCGCGAGTTCCACGACAGATCAAGGGAAAATGCAAGATGAGACCGAGTGGCTTATGTTGATAAAAAGACAGAGCCATATTGGAGGGAAAATTTCGCATGTAAACACATTTCTACGTTACAAATGATGATATAACGTCGACCAATCGTCTCGCGGAACGTGCGAACCGATGGCTTTTAAGGAAAATATGTGGCACGTGATTGTATGTTGTTTCAAATAAAACATTGTTGTTTTGTATACTACACACAGTTGGTGGAATTTTTTGATTTTAATCTTAATCATCGTTCATTACTTTATGTCCTTTTCAAAAGATTCTTTCTACTTCTCTTATTATTACTTCAGCTGAATCAATGAATACATTAGATTCCTATTTTATCATATCGTATTAATTTTTCTACATGTTGCAAAATTAATTTACCGATTGATCTACAAGTCTAAAAAGCTATCTTTTTTTTTTATTCGAATTTTGCTAAATCTTGAGAATATATTATAAAATGAGCGAAATGGTATTCGAGATAACGTCATAGATAAAAATAATAAATAGCGAAAAAAAATAGAATAAAAATGATAGATGGGGAAAGGAATAGACGTGACATCTTCTGGCAGTTTGTGTCACTTATTCCAACATATCGACTTATGATATCGATATATCTATATATCTAATACCTATAATATAGTGCCATCTAGCATGCTCTAATCTAAGTAATATACCAAATACATATTTTTTGACATTAAATATCGATTGATTTCTTTTTTTACCGATAAAATAAAATTTAAAAAAAAATAATAATTAAATAATTAAAATTAGAAAAAATTGAGGAAACTACCAACAAAATTATCGAATATTTGATCTAATAAAAGTTTATACTTTTCAGCTTCAAGAATAAATGACAAAAATAAATCTAATCGTGCTCGCAATTGGCTCATATTTGTTATAATTTATAATTGTATCACGGATATTAATTATACACAATTATAAATTATATATCAAATAAGTACAATTTCTCACTGCATCGAGGTTGCTGCGAATTGAAGATCCAGCCCTATTCACATCCTTTTTTTTTCGCAAATTTTATTTACTTTCATATAAATTCTCTTTTGGTAAAAAAATAAAAAAAAATTTTTTAATAAAAAAATTAAATTGTATAACTCTATATGAGATTCAACAAACATATAATAATAAAAATTTACAAAATGAAAATGAATTATTATTGCTTGAATTTAAGGAAAAAAAGAAAAATAATTTTCAAGTAATAATAATAAATAATTTAGCATTCTTTTTGTAATAAATGCTAAAGTACATAATAAAAGACACTGAAAAAAAAAAAATCAATTTAGTAACCAGAAAAACCGCTAAAAAATATTTTCCATTGAATGAACCCGAACAACACGCGAATGGAATATTCATTTCGCAACGCTAATAAACTATTATTACTATTAAAAAATCAATCGCGATGAGTGCTTCAATGTATACAAATGATAAAAAAAAAAACAAAATAATTGGAAAATTCACGAAAGTAATTAATTATATATGCAACACGGACAAATACTACTCTATGCACTCAAAATTCAATACACGCAACACTAATAGCGAGAGATATCCAACGCAGTCTCCTTCAGGACTGCGAATAATGATCCATATAGCTACACCAGGTGATTCAGGAACTTTTATAATGAATGATTGGGCATTCAATATTCGCAACACTACTCGAGCAAACGCGATCGTTTTCCAACGCTACATTTAATTGAAAAATAATAAAAATGGCAAACAAAAAACTAATTTTAAAAAAAAAAATTAATATTTTCTTTAAAACAAAAATAATGAATTTAATTATGCAAATGATTCGATAAGAAATAATAACAATTTAAATAAATCCTAATAAGAAAACGCGGTATCTCAACGCAACTCTAATTCAACCCGTTAAATTAATAAATCGCTAATACAAAAACGCGATGCCCATAATGATAATTGAAACGATGGGCCGGCATGCAATCGGCCAGACAATACAACGTTTACTACGTGTTACTAAAACGAGCACAGTGACAAAATGACTTCCCATCCTTTAGACCCAAACAAGATCCAAAAGATGAGAAGCCATTCGTTGCAGCCCTCTTCTCGACAGTTTGTCGGGGCCTCTTCGGTCTTCCTCCTTCGAGCGCGATGCCCGCTGAAACTTAAATCTAGGCTCGAGATTTCCTAATCGCAAAAAAAAAAAAGAGTAAACCGCACAATAACATGCAAGATCTCGAGCGCCAACGTTTCGTTTCGAGATGAAATCGCGATCACGACCGCGAGAATTCGAAGAGTCGATGGGCAAAGGGAAGAGGCAAGTGAACTCGTCACGACTTTTCACCGTCCACTCTTCGAATTACATTTCCTGAAACAGGTTGTCACGCGAAAACGCGCCTACCCGACCAGACACTGTGACAACCTGCCCGGCCCTGCCTGCTTACAATTAAGCGCATTCACACCAGAAACAACTATGCTACTCGTCCTACCTAAGCTCTATATTTAGAAAAAGTGGCAAAACAAACACACCAACACACTCGCTCCACGGTTCTCACGCATTACACTCGGGCGCAAAAAACCTACACTAGGGAGAGCGTCCCCGGGACACCTCCGACACCCGAGCTTGACACGCTACACGCATACTCTAAGTTTACGTACCATTCTCCTGAAATCGACTGACGATGGCTAGCGACCATTGCGTGAAACGCGATAAAAACAGTAGTGTATGTTTTAATTTTGAACAGTGAGAAAACTCGTATTTTAAGAAATGAAATAGTTCATACGAATTTTGGTACAATTACAATTTAATTTAATAGTGAAAAATAATGAGAATATTGTTTATAATTCAACAATGTTTAATTGTAAATTGTAATCGAGTTAATTGTAAATGGAAACGACGCAATTCCACAACCTAACCACACACACATAATGTGGAAAATACGTCGTGCACGATACGCTAACGCATCGTCAGTCGCTGAAAAATTGTTATAAGCTTATGAACTATGGTCATCATATTCATCGCCTCTCTCCCATCCAAATAGCACCTGAGCACGTGAATGGGATCCTGGCAATGAACACGGAAGGGGTTAAATCTGAAAATCCTGAGCTAAAAACAGTATTAATGTCTCTTTTCTTTCTAACGAACTAATATTTATTGATTTAAAATATCTATTTAGTTTATTTCAAACTTTATGAATTCAATCAAATGCTATTAATTTTAATATTAAATAAGAAAAATATCAACAATGAACAAGGAAAAATTAATAATAGGAAATAATTGGAAAAAATAAATGAAATATCAATGAAAATAATCTCAGATAATTTCTTAATCAAAACATATTTTCGAAAATTAGAAAGCAATGTTCAAAACTTGTTGCTCTGATTTAGAAATTTATCTGTCGCGAAATGTCTTCTTGCATCATGAAATTTAATACATTTTTGTACGAAAAAAGTAAAATTGATATTAATATTTATATTTAAAATAATCATATTAAATTATAATAAAAAAGAAATTAAATCATTCAATGCATAATAATAAAACAAAAGATAAAATTAAAAATTGTCTATTATCATATTAATAATAATATATACTATTATTAGCATTACTATAATTCAAATTTCTAACTTAAATTCATGTACTTTAATTTTACAATATATATTTGCAACTTTAATGCTCACATTAATTATTAATTACATTAATCATGTTAATTATTCAATTATCATTGTTGAAAACGCGTTATGCAAGAAAACCTATCCTGATCTAATAAATAAAACACAATAAAAGAAATATTATTATTCACGGGTATAATAAATACCCATGGTCACTGTGCTCGTGCAAAATTCTACGTATACAACCAATCATTCGTGTCGATTCGGATCTTTCATCCTACGACATGATTAAATGATCGGAGGAACATAAAAACATGCGACTCACCAATAGATGCGAAGTATCTGCATTGCCACCAACACTGTCGTAGCCCATAGGAAATCATTGTGAAGATTGGGAAATATCTATAACAAAACATGAAACATAATTTACAAATGTGATAAGAATGAAATTCTATAATAATAATAAAAATTGAAATTGAATAAGAAATTTAAAAATTAGAATTCTTTATTTGATATTTGACTTTTATAGAATGGCTCTATTTTTCAATAAAATAAAAATGGAATAAAAATTTAGATAGAAAGAAAAATAATTACCTTTTCACTTTGAATGCCTCATTTTCTTGAGAAAATCACTGAATCTATCCGAAAACAAATATTTAAAATAAAAAAATAAAAATAAAAAACTATTAACACATCTGTTTGCAATGTGTAATCGACGAACAAACACTGACTCTAATTTCGCGTTATATTATACTATTATAATTAAATTTATTTTATGCTCTAAAAAACATTTAAAATACTATTACGAAACAAACACTGATTCTACTGACCACATTGCGCGCAGTCATAATGATCTGGAAATAAAATAAAATTAATAAGAAGGAGGAATATAGAAATAGAAATAAAATAATTTCATATTTCTTTCTTTTTCATATCGTGCATTTATTAAAAAAAAATATTACTATTTTTGAAAATATTATATTATAAATATTTATTATTAGAATTAATAACATTCTATCCATTAGAAATATTATATAGTGTATTAGAAATAATCAAAAATTTTTAAGAATTATAGAAATTTCATTAGAAACATAACAAGTTATATATTATTTTAAAATCTTTTCTATTTTTATGACTTATGATTTAATGATCAAATAGTCGAATGAAAAAAAAAATGTCAGTCATCAATCAAAAAATTATCAATTATAATAATATAAAATAAATAATTGAACAAACATATATTGAAATAATGAAATATTGATATAAAAGCTAAAAGAGTAATTGTGAAATAATTATTATGCAATAAGTAAATCACTTACCTCAAACGAAACATCTAATCGTTATAAATTTCGACAATGAAATAAAACTTTGCGCAACGATTTTGAAGTATCAAATTACAAATGGCGGAGTAGGAGGGATGCTCAACAAGTCGAAACCAGTTGAGCGTAGTACGAACGCGAATCGTCAATTTTTTAGAATTATAAAAAATATTTTCCGTCTTCGGGCCTTGAATGTAAAATCAAAACAAATACGTAAATACAATAAGATACGAAATATGAGTTGAACGTATAATGAATTAAGACGCAATTAAGAAATAAATATGTATAAAATATGTATGTGTGAATTGATCGTAATGATCTAACTATTTTTATTTCTTAGTCAATAAAATGACGAAAAAAATTTATAATAACTATGTTTTAGTTAAAAATAAATAAAATCTTACCACACCTGCATAAAATCGAAGAATCCTATACTTTCGAAACAATATTGTTTCGATCGAAGCTTCGATCAAATGATAATTTGCACAAACACGACAAAAGTTCAAAACACGTTTAATTTTGATATAATAATGATTAAATAAACACATATTAACTAAATAATACTTGATAATATATAATTATAACTTAATATACACTAAATATCCGTAAATATACACTAATATATCGTAATTATACACGAACCGGTAAAAAGCAACTTGCCATCACGACTTTTAAGTGTAGACTCACGTCATGCGCACAATAATGCGCAATAGCGTCTCAGCTACAGTATCATGCGCACAATAATGCGCAATAGCGTCTCGACTACAGTGTCATGCGCACAATAATGCGCAATAGCGTCTCGGCTGCAGTGTCATGCGCAATAGCATTTCGGATATAGCGTCAGGTTGGATATTAGAAGCCTTCCGATTGGCTAGAATTTCAGTTCTTTATTATAATTTCGCGCGAAAATTAAATTATATATTATGTTTTAATTGAGTGCGCATGATCAAAAAATCAAACTTTGCCACTTCTTCGTGGCATCCATATTGAAACTTTTTGTATCTTTGAAAATAAATCAGTAATAAGTTACATAAAAAAAAATCGATATTCAAATGAATGTCTAAAATATAAATTAAAATAAAACAATAATCAAACACAAATTCCATCTTAGAAAAACATAATACGGACTGCAATTGTCAAACAAATGAATAAAAAAAAGAATAACTTAGTGAAAGAAATACGAAACACGTATTAATTGTATATTAATACACAATTATGAAAAATAACTATAGAAATAAATCACATACTTCAAAATAATACGAATTATAAATTAAGAAAATGTATTAAGTTCAATAAATCGAAACATATTAAGGATAGTAATAGTAACAAATAAAAAGGGACGGTAAAAAAAAATTAGATATAATAAGAATTGACTATCAACGCCATCTCTAGATATTTTCAGAAGAATGAAATCAAAGAGATATCTTTAATCTTTAAGAGATGGCGCTGAAATAAATTTTTGTCCTCTATTTACATTTCTCTTATTAAATTCTGTTCTTTCTTTGTAAATTTCATTTGTGGTCCTCAATATTTTTATTCTATCCCTATCATTGTCCCATTTTTTCTTTTTGTTTGCTTTATAAAATTTATGCAAAAAAGTATCAGTTTTTGATTAAAAAAGTATACAACTTACTGTACGTAGATAACGTATTAACAATAACTTTCCATCCGTCCATAACAATTTATATTAATTTATATTAATTACAATTAATTTATACTCACGAATAAAATATATATATTTTTTAAATTCAGAATTCATAATTTTAAAATTATATAATTTTAAACTGAACATATTGATGCGTTTAAGGGATATAGCAACTAAAGCAGAACAAATATGATTTTTCCTCGTTCGATAACTGCAACTCATCGGGCAAGTTCAAACACGTAGACATGTCGATAAAAATACTCTATATATATATATAGACACTAAAAAAAACGAGAAATGTGAAAAATATTTAAAAATTAAATAATTTGTTCAATATTTTGTTAATATCCTAATTAAATTTATATTTTTTTGATATAATATAATGATTTATCTATAATACTATAATCTATTAAATTTATTAATTATATCTATAATATGAATTAATATTATATTTATATACATAACATTTAACTTATTAATTTTAAAAATAATTTCTAATAATCATCGATATATATTTACAAATTAAAAGAGAGTTACTCTTATGAGATTAATTTTCATATTATAAATATATTAAAATATTCCAAATGCCATTCTTTGACACGATCAATCAGGATTATGAACAGTAAACATATTAACAAGTTAACATTCATTTTTAAATTATAATTAAATTTAAAAATCTTTAAAGGACATCATCTGAAATAATATGTACAAAATTAATAGAGTAATTTATATATGTAAGAAATAAACAATATAATTTAATATAAACAAAAAAATTCATCGTAATCAGAGTATAAAAGACTCAAAGGTGAGAGAAGAAAAATAGAAAGGGAATGAAAGAGAAAAAGAGAGGGAGAGGGGAAGGGGAGGATGGTGGAAGCTGGCTGAATATTTTTACCCAAGCCTGTTAACTACACTCTGTTATTTTATCTCACGTACGCAGTTTTTCCACCACTACCATGCTGTTACGCAGGAATATAAGTTTTAAGGCGTGTTTTGATAGCGTCAGGGTGTGTCAGCTGGGGCTTCCTACCTAATGGATCACTTCTTCGTTTATTCGTTCATACTTTTTGAAGTATATGACCCCATGATACCGCGAACACTCCGATAATTTTAGTTATATCGTAATTATTGGTGGAATCACATTGCAAAAGAGTCAAGAAAGAAGAAAGAATAGATTCGAACGTGTCGAAAGTAAAAATCAATTTTTACCTTTCTTTCGAATTTCTTTATAAATTCGGTTATAAAACGATTAAAAATCGATTATCGTTAAAATTCAATCAAATGTTATACGCAATTATTATACAAAATTATTAATTCGTTTGAAAAAGTTTGAAATCGTCGAAATTGTCGAAATTCTTGACGTGACAAAGTGTTGACAATTGCAATTCTTATCACCTAAAAGGTGTGAAAAGGAAAAGGATAAAAGTGGTTCATCACGAACGTATATTTACGTGAAACAATATTTTCGTTGGCTTTAAGAAGGTGGTGACAGAATATTTCTCTTCTATCCCTCTCTTTCTATCCCATATACATATTTCGGTACAGAGCACTAGAATGATACAAGAAATTGTGAAGACACCATCAATCGTCGACTTTGCGTTTAATGCTCGATACTACGTATGAGTATCATATTATTATTATTATTATTATTATTATCTATTGTTTCATTCTTCTTCAATCCTATAATCATATTAAAAGAAAACGAAAACACAATTTTAAAAGATATAAGAGTAAAAAAAAAAGAAGAATCGAAAAGCAGTATAATACTTATGTACATTCGAAAACAAGAATGAGATTAATTGATTTGTTAAATAACAAACCATGTTGTGTTAGGTTCACCATGATAACCAAACAACGTTACGATTGTGTTCAGAGTATAACTCGGTTCATTCAGTTCCTCTTGCTATGTGGCATCAATTTCATTCAAACACAATTCGTACACAAAAATATTACACACAAGAAATTAAACATCTTACACACGTTTCATCTAAAAATCATTATATATTATTTCGCGTATAAAATTTTGATTTCTATTTTTTTTTTTTCGAATCCAATTTAATTTAATTTACAAACATTTCGATATTTTATTTCGATTTATTTTATCCATCCATTTTATAACCTTTCTTTTCAATTACACATTCGGTAGCGTAAAAATTTGTGGCGTAAATGCGATTAATCACGAACAAACTGGCTTCCAAAAATCCATTTCACGTAGCGTTCACATAGCGACGTCACGTATAGGGAGAGCTGCAAGAACGAAACGTTGTTATTACAGATGCCACTCGTTCAGGATCCCGGGGTATATTTCAAACACAAAGAAGCCTCCTTCCAATCCGGAAGAGTGACGCCTAATTTTCGAGATCGTGAGTTCATAGATTTGTGAAAAATCTGCGAGGCCAATTTATATGATATAATTTTAACCAACCAACAATGCCAAATCTGCTAACAACTTTTAAACTAAAGACTTTCGCAAACTTATTATCCAATTAATAATTACTTTTATAACAATTAAATCGATACTTATAATTAACAAAATTTGTAAAAGAAATTGAAATTGAAATATATATCTTTCACACTCGATGAAATGGATCAATCTCGAACGAATAAAGAATTGTACGGACGAACAGGTTCGATCGTATTGAAAACAGCGAACAGGGGAGGAGGAGGAGGAGGAGGAGGAAGAAAAGGACGAGAAGGAAGGGAAGGGTTGACAGGGAAAGGACGAGAAAGAGAGAGGAGAAGGAAATAAGGGAGGGAGAAACGGAGGGAAAAAGAAATTCTAACTGAAATAACATTGGATGATTGTGGTATTGTCAACCATAGTACTCGCGCACGCCTTCGCGTTTCTCTCTCCCCCCTTCTCTTCCTCCCTGTTTGACCCCCCCCCCCTCTGAAATCGTGTCCTTCCACCCCTAGCACCCGTCCTATCCTAGCCCTGCCTCGGTTTAGGCGCTAGAATATAGGCGCTGGTGGATAGAATAGACGTGGGGTGGGTGCAAAGGGGGATGAAACAACACCCCGTTCCCACCGATTCTCCCTCCCTCTTTCAACGTCGCCGCCGCCTTTTTCTCGCTTCTCGGCCCTCCCCCCCGTTCCCTAAATGCGGCCAATAAAAACAACACCGTACCGCTCTCCTCGCCACCGCACCACAGAGAGAACAAGGATCGTGGATACAGTGAATTATAAAAATAACAGTGCGAAACGATCGAACAATCGGTCTCTTCATTCTCAATGGCTCGCCCGTGTCATTTCTCTGCCTCTCGCGAAAATCTCTCTCCCCATTCAAGACTTGCGACAACTGCTTCCCTCTATTCTCTCCTCTCTCTCTCTCTCTCTCTCTTCCATTCCATGCTTGTTTATCCTCTTATTGTATCTGGGCTGGGTGAAAATTGTTGGAAAAACGGAGAGTAAGAAGGGTCTTTCCAAAAAAGATTCAATTTTCCTTTAAATGGATTAATAGTATATTTGGAGTAGTTTTTATAGAATCTTTCTTAACGTATGATACTTTCAATTAAACATATCTCTGATAAGTTTATTCTTATTGTACCTGGATTGGAATTGTTGGAAAATTGTTGAATAAGAATCTCGCCAGTAAATAATAGTATAATAATTTTTATAGAATTTTTTTAACTTACGACAACGTATGATACTCTCAATTAAATATATCTTTGAACATAACTTTATTCTTATTATATACCTGGATTGAGTGAAAATTGTTGGAATAATGTTGAATAAGAACGATCTCGCCAATAATAGTACATTTATAATAATTTTCTTAACTTACGACAACGTATGATATTCCTGATTAAACATATCTCTGATATAACTTTATTCTTATCGTATCTGGATTGGATGAAAATTGTTGGAAAGGAATAAGAAGACTTTGCCAATTCCAAAATAGATCCATCCAAGATCTTAAATTTTCTTTTAATAGACAATAGTATTTATAGTAATTTTTATAGAATCTTTCTTAACTTACAACAATGTATGATACTCTCAATTAAATATATCTCTGATATAACTTCATTCTTATTGTACCTGGATTGGATGAAAATTATTGGAAAAATATTGAATAAGAACGATCTCGCCAATAATAGTACATTTATAATAATTTTTTTTAACTTACGACAACGTATGATATTCATGATTAAACATATAACTTTATTCTTATCGTATCTGGATTGGGTGAAAATTGTTGGAAAAGAATAAGAAGATTTCGCCAATTCCAAAACAGATCCATCCAAGATTAAATTTCCCTTTAATGGACAATAATATATTTATAGTAATTTTTACAGAATCTTTCTCAACTTAACTTATGATACTCTCGATTAAATATATGTTTGTGCGATACTTAATTCGATCCAAGCAAATTTGGTGGAAGGCGAGATAGATAAAATCCAATAACTTGGATCCCTTCCCCCCCTCTCTCATTCCGGCCGATGTTTTCCTTCTTTCCACCGGCATTCCACAGATTTTCTCCCGGGTTTTCGCAGCGTCCCCCTCTTCGGATCCTTCCCCTCTCCCCTCGCGCGTGGTGCACGCGAGTACACGAACGCCTACTCGCCTCGGCGAAGTCAAAGAGAGATAAAATCTATAAATATGTGGGAGGCGCACGCGACCCATTCCAGTGTTTGTTCAACCAAGAATAACCTCCGTTTCTTCATCGTACGCAGAACCCCGAGAAGAGGCTGGTTTTGTGGCTTGACGCAAGCCTAATCCAGGGTGATGCTTCGTTAACCACCTCCGGCAAACCTTCGAAAGATTTTCGTTAACAACTTGTGCGCGTTTCCCTCGCCGGTATCACCTTCGTTTCGAATACGATCGATGCCTCGAAGAAACTTGACTTGGTTTAAAAATTCTTCGAATACGTCGTGGAAGGAGAAAAGGTAGAGATTCCTAGAAAGAATTATTTTTTTATTATATATTATGCAGAAATGAAATCATTGCTAATTAAATTAACCATAAAACGATGGAATGATTCTTCGAAGGACGACGTCATAGAAGAAGAAGAAGGAAAGTTTAAGATACACTCGTTGCTTCTTAATAAAATTAATCGTAGAGCGTGACTCTTCTTTAATATAAACGTTGAATCTATTACATTCTTTGAATCCTTATTTTCATGGACACAACTAAGGATCTTTATCTAATTAATATTCGATATCATTTGCTCGATATTTCATTACAGTTTTCTACTCAATTATCCTTAAATTCTTGATATTCTTGAGACGATACTCGATCATCCAACGGTGGAATTCGAACAATTTGTCCGACCAAGTTTGGCACGTTGAGCGAGAGTCAGTTAGGTAGACGTGAACCGGCAGCAGAGGGGAATTAGTTAGCGGTAAACACACCTCATCAATCTTCCTCGAACGTCGTCGTTCTCTTCATCATCGCGACACGGTGTACCAGCGATCTGAAATACCCGCGACACGTGTCTCCATTAAAGTGGCGCCCGTTAAAAACACCACGAATATACGTCATTTTCTGGCCGAATCGTTGCTGGAAACCTCGTTCCTTGCAGGCAATTTATGGACTGTCTGGAAAGCGTAACACGTTCGTCAAAAATTTTACACCGCGTGCGGATCGTTTCAAAGATATTAAATAGAACACGAGGAATTTAACTTTTATTATATTATATCGTAGACGGATGGATAGCTGTTACGGTGATACCTTAAGTTGAATGTTTTATCCATCTATGAATGTTATTCGTTAACATCTCCGTTTTGTTCATTTATTTGAAATAAGCGGATCCAGAATATCACAAAGGATTAATAGGTAAAATAAAGCGATTTATTATAATAATCAACACTTTTCCTTTAAACTTTACTTTCCTTTTTTAAACAAAAGCATTAAATATAAATACATTCCATCTCTCTCTTCCATCTTCATCAAAATACAACAATACCAGTAATTATAATTCACCACATATGATGAATGAAATTTTCAATGAAATTTTCAATGTTCTAATCTTTTATAAAAATTCTAAGAATATTCTGAATATTATTCGTTAATATCTCTGTTCTGTTCATTTATTTGAAATCTAGAATATGACAAAGGATTAATAGGTAATATAAAAATAAAGCGATTTATTATAATAATCAACTACTTTTCCTTTAAACTTTACTTTCCTTTTTTAAACAAAAGCATTAAATATAAATACATTCCATCTCTCTCTTCCATCTTCATCAAAATACAATTGTAACATTAATACCAGTAACTGTAATTCACCACACATGATGAATGAAATTTTCAATGTTCTAATCTTTTATAAAAATTCTAAGAATATTATTCGTTAATATCTCTGTTTTGTTCATTTATTTGAAATCTAAAATATGACAAAGGATTAATAGGTAATATAATAATCAAAAATAAAGCGATTTATTATAATAATCAATAAAGAAAAGCATTAAATATTGGAAATACATTCCATCTCTCTCTACCATCTTCCTCAAAATACAACAACCATTAGTACCAGTAACTGTGATTCACCACATACGAATGAATGAATCTACAACGTATAACACTACTACTTATTCCATAAGCATGGAGCAGCAAAGCAAAATAAACAAAATTAATCACAATCCTCCGTATTCGAAGGAAGGAAGGACAGTAGTCGAGCGTGGATCGCGAAGAACGGAAAGTCGATTCTCCGCGCAATTTGATCGCAAAATTCCTTGTAACATTAATACCAGTAACTGTAATTCACCACACATGATGAATGAAATTTTCAATGTTCTAATCTTTTATAAAAATTCTAAGAATATTATTCGTTAATATCTCTGTTTTGTTCATTTATTTGAAATCTAAAATATGACAAAGGATTAATAGGTAATATAATAATCAAAAATAAAGCGATTTATTATAATAATCAATAAAGAAAAGCATTAAATATTGGAAATACATTCCATCTCTCTCTACCATCTTCCTCAAAATACAACAACCATTAGTACCAGTAACTGTGATTCACCACATACGAATGAATGAATCTACAACGTATAACACTACTACTTATTCCATAAGCATGGAGCAGCAAAGCAAAA